AAGTTGAGAAAATGACAATTTTTGATGTATAAATCAGTTGATTTGAACCACTGAGAAGTTTTTCGGCTGTTTTCTTCCTTTCCCACAACAGTTTAAGCCGAATGAGTCCTCTTAAAAACGAACCTCCTATCTGAGTCACTCCCAGCAATACCGCCGAATGATGATGTTTGCTGTTGTTGTTGTTGTTGTTGCTGTTGCTGTAAAAGATTTTCGGATGCCCTCGGATATGGAGGATAAGGTAAACGTTCTTCGAATCGCCGTTCTGTTGTCTCTGTGATCAGCTCACGGTCCAACGCTGAATCCGTACTCGTGAACGGGACCGTGCGTCTCGATTCAGTGATATAATGCTCAATTATTTCCTGTTCTTCTATCGTTCTTGTTTGAGGACCATAGTCCATTCTGCTCAAATTAAATCAATGTGTCGGGCAGATCGATTGCATTGAATTCGATCGACGTAGAAAGTTTTTGTGATTTATAAGAAAAAGCGATTATATTATATTAGCTCACGCAAACGTTATAACAATGATTATTGGGAATATAATGAGAACGAGTCACATCCGTGCTTGACAAATTAAACTGCCACAGAATCACATCAACAATTTTTGAAGGTCACAAAGAAATATTGCTGGCTGTTATAAATTGACTTGGGATCGTAGACAAAGTGCAACAACGCGCTAATGAAGGAGGCAATAAAATTAAGAAACTGACACAAATAATCACGATAATGATAAGATCAACACTGAAAAACAACAATAACAATTCTCTCAAAATAAATTAGTCGCATCACTTTCATCGCGAACATGTGATAGCCTCATAAAATCGTTCGTTTCATTTAATTCACCCTGGTAATCTACCAATCAACAGTTAGTTCTTAACTCTTCTTTACACATCAACCATCAACCACGAATCTTAGTTCACATCAATTTACTTCAATAAATTCTGAATTTATTGAGTAACCCAAACGCTTTTTCAGATTACTTCACTGTTTTTTATTGTGTGCTGGCACATTCAACTGAAGCTTNNGGATTGTTCAATTTCGAGATGGTTTTAGTGAAAGTAGACGGGTAGAATGATTTCATAGTTACTGGATAGAGCAATGCCCTCCGATGTGTGCTTTATGAAGCCGGATGGAGCCATTAGAAAAGTTCCATTAATTTGCAATAGTCATGAGAATTCAATTGTGTTCATGAGTTTGATGACTCAAGAACATGTGAATAATTCCTCATCACTGATTGATGTAGCAATTGAAGATGGAATTTAATGCAGACAGCACCGATCAGACCACGTTTTGAACGTCGTCTTGAGACTACTGGTAATCGAACGCAATTATATTATTGAATTGGTTCAACAAAAAATTTATGAAATATTTCCATTAATTTGCATTGTATTGCAAGGACTGACTGCATATGTAATACTCTCAGTGATATTATTATTATTTTATTGTAAAACGAGTCTGTTTAAATAATACAACTTTAAAATGGACATGTATATGGATGCATTCAGAGAGACACAATGCCAGACTCAGTATAAACGAATGCGTGATATGTGTGTCATCTATTCATCAGATAGCAATTAATGCAGCAAGTTCAAATGAACATGCAATACACTGATTAAGCCCATCAAATCCTTAAATCAATAACGAACATTTCTGTGGCACATTTCACTATTTTTTACCTCTCTCAACCATTATTACATTTTACAACATCAAATCCGAATAACATAATCGATGAAATCTAGGACAACGATTAGGCAGTCAACATGTCCAAACAGTTGCCTCGTTTGGGGATCAGCGTTTTTTTTTTTTGATTTGACAAGAAGAATTTCACGTCAGCACAACGTAAAACTTGTTGCATTAAATGTAGCATAAAACGTGATCATTAAAAGACTTCCAGTTCAATTATACGTCAAAAATTATGACGGGAATTCTCCAATTAATTCAAAAATTATTCCAGGTTTAATTGCATCTTCTAAAACAAACGAGTGCATTATGCAACACATATCATATAATATGATGTTTCTTTCAAATGATACTGTTTTTTGAATACTTTCATAATTTCGAACACTAAAATTTATTAATTGTAAGCACAAGAAACATTCTGAGTGATGTTGAGCTGACGCAATTACCTCAATGAACTTCCGTTGTTCGATAATAAATGTCTCTCTGAATGCATCGATCTCATTAACACTCAATCAAATAAATGTCAATAACACTCGCATAAATCAAAAACACATACAATAGCAATACGCATTTCATAACGGCTACTGGCCAAAGCATTTGCTAATTGTCAGCGGCCGTCAGTGGAAGTAAGCGAGTGTTATTTCCATACGAATAAGTCTTCGTCATGCTTCCGTAACGCAATTATGAAAATGGTCGTTTGCTGGCTCTACTTAGTAGTAGCTGGGTGTTGTTAAGTAATACACATATCCATCTATCTCTAAGGATAAAAAATCGATTTCATATGATTTTTGAATAGATGAGATTTTATGTCACGAAGAAACGTTAAGTGAGTTGAATATGGTGATTCTATGATTCCACAACATTGTTATTATATTTCATAACGATAATATACCACAGAGTATAGTATNTCGTTTATCTATCTACATTCACAATTTGAGCTTCATTTTTCTTAACACAGTGACAACACTGTAAAGTACTTGTTGAATATGAATATTGTTGAGTAATAGCTGATTCTGTTAAATGTTATGACTTGTGAGGTAGTAGGTTTGCGTTGAACTGGTTAGACTGAGAATGAACGACGGTGGATGGTTTTGCAATGACATAAAAGTAATTTTGAATTGATGGAATTAATGATCACTTGAAGGATGCGAGAATCGAACAATGAATAAGAATTGTCTGATATATATTCATTCGAATAACGCTCTTTTGTAGATTTGAAGTAGTTTTCAATTGAACATTTGAATCGTCGACCTTTCCACTCAATAGCATTCATCAAAACCATTCAAAATCTATTTACCACTTCGTCTAATTCAAAGGATTGAAGGTTTAAAATACTTGAGTTCAAACTTTGAAAAAAAAATTGCATTAGATGATATTCATCGAGAAAACATCATTCTTTTGTGATAAGATTAAACTGTAGAATGAATGAAACCTATGAAACAGATCTACTGAAAAATCGTATTTGCACACATACAATAAGCACAACGCAAAATCTCTACGAGAAGTATCGTATCGAATTAAAAAACAGAATGTCAACGATTACACTGATATTGATTAATTAAAGCTATTGCTAATTAAGGGGTTGAAAACTGAATGGAGTCATGCATTGCATTTATCGTTTCAATGATGTAGAGCAATAACTAAGATAGAGTAAGTAAGAAGATAAGAACTGAAAGTAAAGGTAATATTGCTTTGTGACTGACGACGGAAATAATGCCAGAAGAATAGATAATGCATAAATTGACAGACGACGAACAGGTTTCCAGCAAACTTTCACGTTGATCATAAAATTGACAAAAGAGGAGAAAAGATCGACGGCTAAAACACGATTAGTGAGACAGCCAACCCTTCGATTTACAATAATAATCATAATGGAGAACGCATGGATGCGGCATGGACGCATGGATTGATTATTCACTAGTGTCCAATATGAACATTTTTCAATGTTATAAATACATACTGCTACATGCAGTCAATCTAAATATACGTTTTGCGTGCGCACATTTCGGATACACTAATCCATACTTATGCCCGTATTCAATTCAGTTCTCAATGGCGAATTGTTGCAAAATAAATTCACAATCGGCTAGAAAATTTGATTCTGCATTAAGTGTATTTCACAAAAATCAAATGATTCATATCACTCGAAATTTGAATCTTTTAAAAAAATCACATCCATGCTGACGATGAGACAACTAACTGCGATGGATTTTGATAGACGAGAGAAATTATCTTGCGGATACGAAACCAAATTATATTATAGTATTTTTAGGGGTCTAGTGAGCAGTTTCTTTGAATTGAGTTCTCGAAATGATTCATGACGAATTTGCGGAATCTGCACTGTGACCATTCATTGGAACTATGTTTTCAGATTGGGTGAAATAGAGCAACTGAAATGTTTCATATTTTACTGTATTCAGCAGTGTAACAGGTGTTTTTTAATCCAAAATAATTCATTACAAATGTAATGCGATTAACGTTACAAAACGATACTATTGTAATGTGTTTAGACATTCAGATGAATCAAATTCCAATTCGTATTGCAAATTCTTCTTGTTATTCAAATTGAGTTTAAATTGACCACTAACAGGTTTTAAAATCAAAACAAAATGTGATCGATAAAGCAAAGCAACAGTATCTATTTCATCACAACAATGAAACCACATTTTGAATTCGAAAAAAAAACGTAGACAATTTTCCGGTCGATTGATCAGCGAATCAATCTGATTATGTGTTTTCAGGACAAGTTCAATTCGTTGAACTAGAACCCTCAATTTGAAATTAACAAACAAATACTGTCACCTTCTACTTTTGTGTCAGAGGCACTGTTCAATATCACGTTGCAATGCCAGGTGGGAAGCACAAAACAAGTACTGAATTCAACCTTTAGTGGAAGAACAATGACGAAACGGGACCTTCTTTATGGGACGCATGATGTTTTGGAAGATATTGCTAAATAAACGTACTAACTGTTTGTTGACAGGGAGTTTATTGACATCGACGCAAATTAGTATTGATAGTGATAATCGTTTAAGAGAACTGGGACATCACCCCTCCCCCGTCTCCTTCCTAGAATGCCAAAAATCACTATTGAAGAATGCTAGAGTTATTAATTTGTGAATTCTTCGTTACCGGAAGAAGTCAATCAAAATGGCATGCATAAACTTCACACATTTCAAGGTCCCCTCTAGAAAATCCTCTGAGCACGTCGCTGAGATAATATGCGTTGAATTTGCAGTGCAATTTTATCATTCAAGCGTATAATGTCGAGCTGGCATAATCGATTCGGCACGTAGTGCAAACTCTAAATATGTTCCAGTCAAATGAGTGGCGATTGAAACTTTATGATCTGATTATCAATTGAACGCTGTTGCGAAGTGTGAACAAGATCGATATGCGGTAATCTCAAGTGAGCATCTTCAAAGGGGATATCGACAACGATATTTCAAGGACACGCGCCCTATATCTTGGGATTTGCGATTTGGTTGAGATCAACAATAACAACAATAACCATATTAATTCTAATTCTAAGAGCATTAATAATAATGATAATCATAATGAGTATTACCGCCAATGACGATCACGGCTGATAATAAGGAGAAAAGTAAAACAAATGGTCATAGGTGATCAAAATGTGCAACAGCTCCGGTGAATACTGAATTTACGGTTGGATAGATACGACGAAAAATTTGACGGAAAGTTCAATTCGGTGGAAAAAAA